GTTTCTCAAAAAAAAAATGGTCACATCATGATATTGAATTGCAGCTTGACACAAGACACATTTTCTCAGATATTTTTCAACAGAAATAATAATCACAATTCAGAACTAAGCATTGAAGAAAAAAATGGGGAGGGAGGGGGAAGTACTTGCAGTTTGTCTCAAATGAGAGCTCATAATAGTACTACTTCAGTAATAGCAGCAAATGCTTTCACAGTTTCACTTCTCAGAAAACAACTCAGATCCTGGGCTGGATATACGGTTAAATGACTAGGAATGTCTTAAATCACAACACCAAATGACTAAGAACGTCAGTTTATGATGTGCCGTTTTTCCACCAGCACCAAGAACCAAAAGACACAATCCTTTCAAAACCCACTTGTGTACGTCTTGCTGAATTCAAGGTGACTTTTCTTTTAAGTAAAATTGTAGTCTAACATACAGTTGGAAACTGTTTATTCCTCCAGTTGCTGTTGGCCTGCAACTCCCAACATTCCTCACCATTGGCCTTGCTGTCCACTATGTAGTTGCAGTGAAATATTCAGACAGCTTTGAAATTCACACCTCTGGACTAAGTATTGAATCCACCTTTACTCATATGTAGAGGAAAAACATGGAGATTAACATGACTAAGGGAATTCTGATTTTTATAAGGTTTACTGATTAATCACAGAGTGGAAGGGACCACAAGGGCCATCTAGTCCAAGCCCCTCGCCTCATCAAGGAAGCAAATGCAATCAAAACACTCCTGAGAAATGACCATCTTAATGTCCAAAGGACAGTTCATCATCCTCCAAGGTAGTCAATGCCAACATATCTTTAAGCCAGTGGTTCCCAACCTTTTTTTTGACCAGGGGCCATTCTCCAATATTAGTACCAAAAGGATTATGAATCAGTTTTTGGTCAACTTTAAATTCAGTTTGGTAATTTGGGATGCTGATTCAGAAAATTGCATTGGATAGACCATGTTAGCTCTAGTTTCTGATACAGAACATATGCCATCCAGAAGTCACCATCTGCTCACCCACAGAAAACCATATTCATCTAGAGCTGGTAGTAGTAATGTTTTGTGGGTAGTCAGCTGGGAGACTCCCAACATCCCTATTATCTCGGCACTATAAGAGGGTTTTGCGAGACCACTCACTCTCGTTGCCGCGTGGTTTTGAGGCAACGGTGTAATAATGGTGAAACTGCTGACCATATTTTCATTATTGCAGACCACTAGCGGTCCACAGGCCACAGGTTGGGAACCACTGCTTTAAGCAATGTAGTTCTTTCTAATGTTTAGGTGATTTATTGTACTTGGAATCAATGTTTAACTTAGTATCTTGAGCGATAGAAAAGACTCCACTGTTTACATATTGATCACTAGAGAAAATCAAGTGTTTAATTGTGAATTTATTTGCATAGTTGGACATTAACCTTCCTTCAGTGAAAAGATGCATGTCCAGTGGAATTTCCCATCTATTCTGCTTTCAATTTTACAAAACAGTAAGGACCATAAACCTGTTGTATATGGTTCAATGCCTCTATATCCTTCTCCTGCAGGCTTTTGAATATACAGGCAGTCCCTGAGTTACAAACATCTGACTTACAAATGATACATAGTTAAGAACGGGGTGAGACAACAGGAAGTGAGAGAAATCTATCCTTAGGAAGGGAAATCCATTCCTGAGTTATGGTCATGGGGAAAACTTTTTTAACTGAAGCTTTCTCACCAATTCTTGTTTCCACAAGTCAAATTTCAAAATCCAATTATCACAGGGATGGAAAGTGAGATGAAATTTTCTGAACAGGGGCACAGACAGCGAAACAAATACCACAGGGGTGTGTTAACTCTTCCCTATGCTATCCAATGAGTGTGTATGTGCACACACACACACACACACACATATACGGAACAGGTATATTTTAAAGTTCAACTTAGATAGAAAAATAGATAAGATATGACTGGAGTTACACTTAAAAATGTACCTGTTCTGATTTACATACACATTCAACTTAAGAACACACCTACAGAACTTATCTTGCTCATAACTTGGGGACTGCCTGTATTTATAATACAGTACAACTTCTGTATCTTCAAGGGATATGTTCCTGGATTTCTTGTGGATATGTGAAACCATGGAGAATAGTGAATCCTATTGAAATGAAGGACTTCTGCTCCAAGAATACCATAAAGTCATGCTCAGGGACCTAGAAAATACCCAGAGAGTATATATTTTGTTGGGCTTAAGATGAATAAAACTATGGATATCAGGTTCCTACTATATGTATATATATAATTTTACTTCTTTATTTCCACATTATTGGTTTGTTATTCATCAGTTTTATGAGCCAGGTCCCATGTTCCCTGTTCCCCTTTCAATAGGACTTATTCCAAAGTGCATTCTTACACAAAAATTATTCTCCTTGAAATTGTATTTGACTTAAGATTTTTTTACTAGTCAGAAGTGGGGTGCAAAACTGAGAATAATGTCTGCAAAGCTATTTGGGGACTACAGCTTTGAAGATGCCATATCAAAGCCAAAGGTTCTACTCACAGTCTTTCAGAACCTTAACAGAGATTATTTTTAACCTCCCTCAACCAGCTGTTTTCCACCTAAGACCAAGTAAAATGTATTTATTTACATTTAATTCTCAAAAATAACTTCTCCACCCTCCCCCAACCCAAGCTGGGTAAGGCAGGAAGTAATAAGTGGGGCAGGAAGTGGAAAATGTATCAATCTTAAATGGGTCAAAGCAGCCAACTAACTCTCTTCCATGATGTCACAGGTGTAGGAGCCTATCTGGGTCAGCTTTTGAAGCACAGCCCACAGAAACCGCTTCCTCTCGAAAACAAGGTTGGTTTTCACAGAGGTGGGGAGTTCCAAAGTCGAGGCACGTGCCTGAGCTCACGTGAAAGGGCAAGGAGGCAGGGAGAACGTTAGACCACAATGCAGAAGGTGCTGCCCTAGGTTGAGTTGGAGACCGCAAAGATGAGAGCATTAATCCAGGTGCATCTGGGTCGGTGGAGGGGAGGAGGCAGCTAAGTTTATCATCACCAAAGGCCTGCAAGAACCAAGAATATCTCTGTGGCTACTTCAGTTGTGGGTGAGCTGGATATGAGAACGGGGGCAAACAGAGGCCTTCTGTGACCTCTTTGAACTAATCTAGGAGTCCTATTTGAATATTTTTCAATGTCTAAAATATATTCAATCTCAGTACTTTCATCAAAGACCAAAAGGTACCTATCAAAACTGGCCCAATAAGTATAGCAACTGGCCAATGTGGCAGGAAAGGTGAGAAATATCAGCACTCCTCTGACTTCTCCTCTTGGACATTTCTTTTTAGAGGACATATGGATTTCCCTTTTCTCTTAAACTGCTTTCTGGTCTGTTATTCAAGTGTCAGTATTCAACTCTCAACTTAGTCAGTTTCTGTATAAGAAATAAAAAAGGGAGTGCCACCTCTTTCTTTGCTCAGACAGCAAAACTGCTGGGACAGCAATGTGGTAGATCTCTCTAACAAAAAGTGAGTTTACATTATTAGGCCATAGAAAAGAAAATATAGAATATTATATTTTCCTCTTGCCCTTTGGCAAGAAGATGCTGAATGTTAGCATAGGAAGGTCCTCTTCTACTAATAAGATCATTATTTGCCATTCTATATTATTGGAAAAGACTTATATTTAGCTAAGCTATTGTTCTTGAGAGCAGGACCGATACAAACCATTTGGATACCACAATGGAAGTATGTAATGGCTATCATGTTATCCATGGAATCTAACTGGATGGTAGTTAAATAATTCCCGAGCCAAGTGCCAGCTTCTTAAATGTAAAAAGTAAATAGTAAAGGCATTTCAATGGCATAAGTCACACTATATAATCAAATTACACTCTTAAAATTTTTTTTTACAGAATTCTGTATTTTGATGCTCTTGGTTGTTTTTTTCTTTCGTTGTGGAAACACAGCAAGTTGTGGGGTAACAAAGTTAGCAACTAGTGTGTAATTCATGTTATTCTAACATGCCATCCCATGCATTCCTACTGGAGGTGGCCTGTATGGAGTAGTAGTTTAAGCACTGGATTATGATTCTGGAGACCAGAGCTCAAATCCTGTTCAGCCATGAAAATATTGGATGCCTTGGCAAATCACACTTGGCCTCAGAGGAAGGCAACAGCAACCCGATTCTGAATAAATCTTGCCATGTAATAGCTTCTATTTAGGTTAGAAATGACTTGAAGACGCTCAAAAACATATCTGTGGAGACTGTACTATATGCCTTTCTATTTATTTAAAGAGGCTCAGTAGTCAGAAAGAGGTGTGAGTTTTGAAGAGAACTTAACACGAAGTTTTGTAAAGGTGGGTTCTTAGGTTGCTGGATCCAGATTTCAGTGCCAAGGGGAAGGCTGTGGGGACATTAGAGAACCTGTAAATTAACAAACATCTGTTTTACTTCTTGAAGCGTTTAATACATTTTAAAGACTTCTTGGAAATTAATCTCTGAGGTTTGCTGTTAACAAAATTAACTGATTATGGAATTGACAGATGCAGGCACCAGAGGGCAGCAAAATAAAGGCAAAGACAGTCAAATCAGAAAACTGTCAAGTAGCATACTAAGGGAATGAGGTGAGAACTGTTGCAAGTTAGAACCACCTATTAGCATTCTTGGCTAATCCACTGGAATCCTGTTTTTGCTCTGATAGAGATAGGGGTTTCCTTGTTTGGTTGTAGTGAGGGTAACTCAACTCCAAACAGTTAGGGTGATCCATATTATCACTGTATTTGCCACCAAGTTAACAATGGATAAGCCTGGTTGTTCTAGCAACTTTTGATAAAAGGAAGTATTGTCATCATGTTGTTGCAGATTAGGAGGACAACTGGGCCAAGCTGTGAATGCAACAGAAAAATGCAGTGCCAGATGCTGTGCTCAAATTTCATTTAAATAGCCATATTATAAAGACAGGAAAATGGTGCTAGGGTGAGATTCGGATTTAGACTGTCCAGTCATATTAGGCATTGAAAAGTTTTACGAAACGTTGCACAATTCTGGTTAAAAGAGACCAATGGTTAAGGTGGGATATCTTTCATTCACTCTCTTCTAGCCATAGTCAAACAGATAAAAAATTTCAGGATACTTATTAAAGGCTTCATGGCTTTAAGGGGACACATGAAAAAGAGTGGAGAATCTCTTTCAGAAAATGGGCTACATTCAGTTTCAGAGTTTCTTCGCAGGTGGGGGCACTCCAGCAGTGATTTAAAACAAAGGAAAAAGGGTATAACAGGAATGGCAGTCTATTGAGTCTATTAAGTTCCACCTTGTCTCCTGCCTATGTCATTGGTTGAGAGCCCCCCCCCCACGCGCACCATCTGCTGCTCTGGGCCAGAGTGAAGAGAGGGGGGGGCAGGGGACAGTTCCGCCATGTCTCCTGTGCTATGCTAAGAATATAATATAATATAATATAACATAATATAATATAATATAATATATTGTACATTATATTATATTGATAATATTATAATGTAATACAATATAATACTAATAATAGTAATACAATATTATAATTATATATTTTATATTACATGTAATATTATTAATAATATTACAATAAATTGGTACAGTATAACATAGTAATATATAATACTGATGTTGTACTATGCTAATAACATAATATATTGTATGTATGTATATCTTGTAAGCCTCTCTGAGTCCGCTTCGAGGTAAGAAGGGCAGCATATAAATGTCGTAAATAAATATTAACGCTCCTAGTGCTAGTAACTAAAATTTAGGATGAACATCTCAATATTTTAAAAGATGGCCAAACAAGTACAAAAGTTGAAAAACATTACTATAAAGCAGTAATGTCATGGGCAAGAAGTCAGGGTCATCTGGGGAACCTGAGTAGCACTTCTGGCCCCATGGGCTAGGATTCCAATCTTGACATATGATTACATCTCAAATTCAAACATTCAGGCCATTGCACCACACACTACTGAGAAGATGCAAGACATATAACAAAAGAAGTTTATTGAGAATCAAGACAATTGCTAGTTGTTTCAGGGAACCTTTTAAATCTTATTCCTTTCTCCACTAGGGAACTAATCAGATGTCGCTCCCATTCACTGACTGAGCAGTCTTAAACCATCAAGACAAACCCATGATCTGCAAGGGAAAAAAGAAAACACCAATGAAAAAGTTTACTTTAAAAGTATAATGTTCTCTTACAAAAGCAACATGGTAGCACTCCTAAATGTTCACATAAATCTGAGAGAACAAGCCCCAAATGTCTAGCAGAAGCTTAAAATCGTTAACAGCACGGCCACAGATTCAGCCACGTATGGAACTTTCTTAATTGGAAACAGACACGGAATCATTTTCCATTCATTTCTAATACTTTCCAAGACATACCAAGACAACAGGATTGTACACTGCACATACAAACAATGATTGACAACAACAATCAGAGTGTAAAACTTAGCTCACTGTGAAGGCCAGTAATGTGTTAATTTAGTCACATCCCTTTCTTATTCCCAAACATGGCAATGAGATGAAGCCAACTGCTAGCCTTCTATGTATGATGAAGTTCAACAGGAACAAGAAACGGAATATTCTAACGATCACATCAATTACACTCAAAGTTCATCTACTTACTTATGGTAACTGCCAATTGAACTAATCTTTAATTCCTCAAAACAGACATCCATATCATCATTTTTATATTCCAATTCCCCTCCAAAACTGGGATTCAAAGCAGCTCACAAATTTAAAAAAAACACAGTACATTTAGAAGAACAGTATATGAAAGAATATTTTAACATTTTAAAAAAGCATACCTTGAAGTCTTTTTGAATCAGCCCACAAAATTGATAACAAC